ATACAATATGAAATACAATGAAAATACAATGAAAAATACAATGAAAAATACAATGAAAAATACAATGAAAAATACAATGAAAAATACAATGAAAAATACAATGAAAAATACAATGAAAAATACAATGAAAAATACAATGAAAAATACAATGAAAAACACAATAAAAAATAATCCAGATGATTGCTGATGTAGGGTATAAAATGTTACTCTTGGGATTTTTATATAATTCAATTATATTATATATCTTGTACTATATAATATATTATGTATTATTTGATTTAATGTATATTAGTTGTTACATAACGTGGATTTAATCTATTTATTTGCAAGGTAAACATAGATCATGATTCATGCCAGCTTACATTTGTTGCATACAACGTGCTGGGTCTACCGGATGGTCTAGGCTGGTCGGTACGAGTGAATACATAAATAGTACAACTACACTAGACTAGTAAATCATGCAACGATTGAAGCCATATTACATTTTTCATTTAAGGGAAGACAGGGTCCAGCAATTGAGTGTTTTTAAAGATATATTTTTTTATAAATTAAATATAGATAAACGAAATCACAGCTTTTAGTTTTATTTACATTCATAAATTAATAATAATAATAATAATTAATAATAGATTAAAATAACCGACTAGTTTTGAGGTTTTATATTGTAAAAAAAGTACAATGAATGAGTCAATAAAACAAACTGAGATTTAAATTGTGATGTTAAGAATTCTTACAAAAAAAGTTACATCAAATTATGCTGACTGTCTCTTTTAGTGCCTGTTAAATTCACCATAATTTGTAAATATGTAGTATAGTGATAAACAAAAAATATCCAAGGAAGACTCCAGACAGATATATCATTAAAGAGATCATTTCGATCATTAGTCTTTCATCAATTAATTAAGAGAATAGTATTGGATATATAGCTCCAGGTTTAAATATATTAATTAATAAAGAGAATAGTATTGGATATATAGCTCTAGGTTTAAATATATTAATTAATTAAGAGAATAGTATTGGATATATAGCTCTAGGTTTAAATATATTAATTAATTAAGAGGATAATGTTGGATATATAGCTCTAGAATTAAATATATTCATTAATTAAGAGAATAGTATTGGATATATAGCTCTAGGTTTAAATATATTAATTAATTAAGGGAATAGTATTGGATATATAGCTCTGGGTTTAAATATATTAATTAATTAAGAGAATACTATTGGATATATAGCTCTAGGTTTAAATATATTAATTAATTAAGAGGATAATGTTGGATATATAGCTCTAGGTTTAAATATATTAATTAATTAATAGAATAGTATTGGATATATAGCTCTAGGTTTAAATATATTAATTAATTAAGAGAATAATATTGGATATATAGCTCTAGGTTTAAATATATTAATTAATTAAGAGAATAGTATTGGATATATAGCTCTAGGTTTAAATATATTAATTAATTAAGAGAATAGTATTGGATATATAGCTCTAGGTTTAAATATAATAACTAATTAAGAGAATGATGTTGGATATGTAGCTCTAGGTTTAAATATAGATTTGAAAATAATCCTTGTTTGAAATTACCCACAGATTCAAGTTGTCTAATCCATGTAACAATCTAGGTCCTGATCAATCTCCAAATACTTGACTCAAATTCTAATTATCAGTCTTCCCGACTAAATCTCTAGCCAAAACCCTGGCTCTATACGTCTGTCTAAAACAACGATTGATACTATACTAAATTAATTGATACAGGTAGAGATAGATTGACCGGACTGGCCGGTCAGGGTCAAGCAGAAAATTGATAATATATAAGCAAAACATAGATAATAGAGAAAGTATACTAGTATAACCCCTAAATTTATTACATCCATATATCGTTGCAACACAATGTTACAGACTTTTGTTTGAAATATCTAAGATTTACACCATCTGAGAACGCATTTAATGAATTTGGGCCACGTCTTAAATCCACCAAAATTGAGCGCCGGCTTAAATCTTGAAGGATAAATTACACTTTTAAGTGAAACAAACCCGCGGCTCAAATTTTTTTAATTCGGCCACTGATTGCAAAGAAAAAGGTATTCGAAAATTGTGTTTGTGGTAAAACCTTAGTTCCTTTCAAATTTTCAAATTCTCTGTTATTAATGTAATGTAGTGGAATTGATTTAATTAAGAATCTGTTTATCTGTTTATCTGTTTATCTGTTTATTTGTTTATCTGTTTATCTGTTTATCTGTTTATCTGTTTATCTGTTTATCTGTTTATCTGTTTATCTTTTTTGGTGTTTATTTGTTTACCTGTTTATCTGTTTATCTGTTTATCTGTTTATCTGTTTATCTGTTTATCTGTTTATCTGTTCATCTGTTTATCTGTTTATCTGTTTATCTGTTTATCTGTTTATCTGTTTATCTGTTTACTGGTTGAATTATTCAGAGCTAAAAACTTGAGAAAGGGTGGATATCGAGATCTATGCTTTATCCTTTCTTTTCATTTATCGTAAGATTAATTTAGTCTTAAGAATAATTTCTAGTTGATTGTTGATACTTTTTTATTTAAAAATCTGTTACTGTAAAGGCACTTTAGACATAATTCTATTCAATTAAAATTTAATTTTAAAAAAGGAGGTGCCTGTCTGATTCACACTGATACCCAGTATCAATGAAATCGAATGAATCCGAAAGTTTTGGAACTGATTTTTTGTCACAAACTATACTTTTCTAATCTCTATCTTTCTACCTAATGTCGTAGACCTTTGCTATTTCAAACTATGAATTCTGTTAGACCAAATAATCTAAGTTTGAAATTTTAAAGGTTTACATCATCAGATTGTAAAGATATAGGGATTAGACAATTTGAGTTTGTGGCAAAAACTCAGCAAGAAAAATACTGACGTTTACATAGGATTATTGTGCTTCGAACAATTATCTCTATAAATGGAGCGCTAAATTTAGTTCACAAGCTACAGGGTCCTAATCTCCCTCCCTCCCAAGAAAAAGGCATTTTTAAAATCAAATTTAATGCAATGCATGTTAAAAGAAAAGTCTTATTCTGAAAAATATTCATTGAATTTAAAGCCTTAAAGGGATCCACCCCCCCCTCCATGAAACAATGTATGAGAAATGCATCCAATGACATATGCATGTAAAAAATCTTATCCATAATATTATTTATTGCGGATTTTGAAGCATTTGTAAGATTATTCTTCAAACCTCAATATTCTTTATTTTTACATTATTTGACAATTGTGTACAGTGCTGCCTATCTTCTAGCATCTTCTCTATTGTGCATTTCAAATTACAACTTTTTGCAGAAGAAGAGAATTGGCAAAAGTAATTGAAAGATTTGGCTAAGTTTTGCAAAAATATAAACTTGGACTGAAATTTTAAATATTTCCAAAATGGAGAACAGAACATGAGAAAACATTAAATTATTCAAAGCATGTCTTAAAATGCATGTTATAAATTTAATACATTTTAAGAGATCTGAGNCTAAATCTTGACAATGCTGCCAACCTCTAAACTGTCTCTATTAATAGAAAAAGCTAAATCTTGCCAATGCTACAAACCTCTAAACTGTCTCTATTAATAGAACAAGCTATATCTTGACAATGCTACAGACCTCTAAACTGTCTCTATTAATAGAACAAGCTATATCTTGACAATGCTACAGACCTCTAAACTGTCTCTATTAATAGAACAAGCTAAATCTTGACAATGCTAGAGACCTCTAAACTGTCTCTATTAATATAACAAGCTATATCTTGACAATACTACAGACCTCTAATTAAACTGTCTCTATTAATAGAACAAGCTAAATCTTGACAATGCTATACAGACCTCTAAACTGTCTCTATTTGTAGAACAAGCAATATCTTGACAATGCTACAGACCTCTAAACTGTCTCTATTAATATAACAAGCTATATCTTGACAATGCTACAGACCTCTAAAATGTCTCTATTAATATAACAAGCTAAATCTTGACAATGCTAGAGACCTCTAAACTGTCTCTATTAACAGAACAAACTATATCTTGACAATGCTATGCAGACCTCTAAACTGTCTCTATTAATAGAACAAGCTAAATCTTGACAATGCTACAGACCTCTAAACTGTCTCTATTAATAAAACAAGCTAAATCTTGACAATGCTATGCAGACCTCTAAACTATCTCCGTATAATGGTAAACCGTACAGCAGTTATGGATATTATCATAATCTTTACGTCACAGCTTTGTCCACGCAGAACCAAATCTTAGAAAATTAAACCCTCATTTATTTTGGTAAATTTTGGCTTCTAAAATGTATTTTGCTAAGTTTCAATGAACTGTAATGTGAAAAAACATCTTAAAAGTTTTAAAGAAGACGTACAAACCTGTGGACTGGTCTTGAAGAACATAACTGTCGCTGAGTTAGAATGGAGTATGTCCAGCAATTTGTTCTTCAGTCAACTTTCCTGTATACTGATAAATCTAGGTTTGTGCATAGTTTTTTATAACTTTTTTTTATTTTTCAAAACTTCCCAACCTCCGTTTACCTTTAAGCCTTCCTCAACAAAAATAGCAAAACTATTATAAAAGTTTTGAGAAGCTTTGAGGGCACTTTAGATTTTCCTAAAGGAATTGAGTTTTTGCCACAACCTCAAATTTTCTAATTTCTATATCTCTGCAACCAGTGGGTATAAACCTTTAATATTTCAAACTTGGATTATTTGATCTAACAGAATTAATAGTTTGAAATATCTAATGTCTACGACATTGGGTTGCCAAGATATAGGGATAAAATTATTTGAGTTTGTGGCAAAAACTCAGTTCCTTTGCAATGAGATTTTAAAAACCAAGCCAAAATTGATATCAATTGATCGGAAATATTTCCATAGACTTCAAAATTGTTGAACCATGATGAGTTCTGCAATGTATTTTTTTAACAATTTGTTATTTAAAATTATTTTTTATTTAATAAATTGGATACAGTGGATACATTAAAATTCTGATTTGATTATTGTCTTCGTTTCTCTCCTTCCTTTTTTCATTTCCTTCAGTTGACTGTCCCAAATGCAGATGATTTTGAAAAAAATTAAAATCTGTCGAAACCAGTATTCGGGACGTTCTGCTCAATTGTAATTGTATGTTGTGATCTGATGCAGCAAACTGAAGCTGATCAGACTTGAAGGTTAAGGCAGGGGGGGTGGAAGAGCTAGTGGCCACATAGGAGGATAGGCTAGGAATTTATTTCACATTGATTCTGTACTTTGAGTTTTGTGTCCAAATCCTAGTTTTGCCTAGTGGTCTTAAAAATGGAGTCACAACATTTTTCCACTAAGAAATCAATTCCAAGTGCTATTTGTGACAAATAGGTAGAGTTGAGGTGTAGGAGCGGTTAGTACCTTTGGTTCTTCTAGGTCGAGCATATTGTGGAGAGGATTTATTCCATTCTCAGAACTCACTTCATACTTGAAGTTCTCACGGCAAATTATCTAAAATAGTCAGATTGTCAGGTAGTACTTGGGCCTATAGCGAGGGAGGGGGTGCAGAGGCGCCATGATCCCCCGCAAAAATTACCTCCGAGCCTCAGGATTTGCAGAATTACCTCCAGTGACGTCCACGGCCCGCATTTTGGCTCCAATAAAAAAATATTTGGCTTTTATTTCCACCAAGAACCTTATTTTAAAAAATTCTCAACATGATGAAATAGTTCAGAATACATTAACATTTTGTATTAAAAAGTGAATTTTAATTGAAATTAAAGGCTTGTATTTTGTTTTTTTAAATTTCACAAATTCCTTAAATTGTGAAGAACTATTGCAGTTTTGTATAAAGATAGAAAACTTTTATATTATTTTAGAGGGGTCTCATATACGAATCAAACAATATCAGCGGCAATTTACAAAACAAGGTAGTTTTTGTGAAATCCTTGAATTTGTGATTTTATCATATGCTTGAGAAAGTATTGAAGAACTATTTTAAAGAAAATTAAAACAAAGAATTAAAATAATCTAAATATCCATTACAAATAATCTAAATATCCATTACATGTTATACTAACAGGTTAGGGCAGCTTCGTGTCATTATATTATATATATAACTATTCACCAACTGTCATGTTTCGTGGGATACCATGTGCTGTACTATTTACTATGGGGTTGTGCACTCAAATCAAATGAATCGTTAAATGATTTCCAAAATGATATCACACAATTTAAAAAATCATCGACTGGGTTAAAACAATTTATCAAAAAAATGGCCAAAAAAAGTCAAAAATTGAAAAAAGAATAGGTAAATAGTCAATTAGGAACACTATTTTAAAATTATAAAATATCATACGGTGATTGGCGTTTTCATCAATATAACGAAGACGAATTTCGATTTCAATTTGAAAATATTAAGCTTTTAAACAGCATGAAAACAATTAAAACTTAAACACAAAATTCGTCTTTATTATATCAATATAATCGCCTACCATCATATTTAATGTTCAACAATTATATATTGATAGACGTTCCTAATTACAATAGAATAGGTCGCTGGTACAACTATTGTTTTGGCCGAGCGCTGCATCTAAGCGAGAAAGGGCCTAAGCACTGCGGCCACTTTATTTTGTAGAAAAGTATTTATTTTATATTTCTTTGTTTTTGTGAGTGATTGATTATGGAGGCTGCATTTACATTTCATCTAGATGTGAAGTTTAAAAAAGTTTTTTCCTTAAATTTTTGTTTTTATTTACTGAAACAGCTCAGTGTTATTTTGCCTTTGTTTGTTGTTGGATAAAAAGATATAATTTAGAAAGTGTGAAGTTATGATGTAAAGATTATCTTAATGGCCTCTTCTCTCCTTATCCCTGCACTGTACACTGTAAGAAACAGAACACAATAATAAAGAAATAATTTAGTTAGATCCCTGGAAACCAGGATATCTAGATTTATTATAATTGGAAATTTTACCTAAAAAATACACATTAGGCTCGAAATTACTGTCATACAGGGATACGCAAACAGCATAAGACTGCGATAACGAACTTTCTGTAAAAAGACTTTCAACTTAATCCATTAAAACAGAACGATCTTTAATGATTTTAAATCGTGATTTTTTATTTTTCTGAACGGTCTAGTTTCTTTGTTCATAGTTTTTAATGTTTCTGAAGGACACCATAGTTAACGAACAATTTTGTTAGTTTGGAAATATTTGGTTCGTTAACAAATGCAATAACATCTAGCACTATAGTCAGATACGATTCTTATCAGTGAATGCAGTGCTAAGCAGACAAGCTCTATATCATGAATTAATCAAAATAACAAATAGCAGAAGCCAAAAGGAGTTATGCGTAGTCGGCGTAGAACAGAAAGACCCTGTTCTGCACCGACTGTGCGTAACTCCTTTGTCTTAGGGTTATTGTGAGCGAAAAATTTCTAAATCTTTAGAAGACGACATCTCTGGTCCTATCTGTTATTTTAAATAATCTCTGCTTTATACCTTCTCATTAAGGATTTGAAAGAATATCTTAAAGGGACCGTTCACTTGTTTGGGTAATTTCAGGGTAAACTAAACAGCCTATCAGCTATTCATTGGTAATAGTCTTACTTTTTAAAGACATCTGTGGCCGGAGAAAAAGCCCATTTTTCGTTCAGAATTTGAGCGCAAAGGAACGGTTCTTCTCTATACTTTTATTTCGAACAACAAACAAAATTAATAACATTTGACCAATGCAATTTTTTGAAGAAATTGAACCATTATATAAACACCGCTACAGTTAGATTGCTGCACCCTGGATTCAACCCGGGTTAGACACACTCTTTTCACATTTTTTTTAAACCGGTTTTTAGAAAAGAAGTGTTTTCTTTGTGTGTCCAGAACATTTCTAGATACTGAAGAAGATTTATGGCGGGAACTTTATAGTTTTCAACTTTTAAACAACAAAATCATTCTCAAAGAAAAACGTTTGTAAAAAGAAAAATGTTCTGTCCATTTGAACTCTGTACACTGTAAACTGAACAGTGAACACTGTAAACTGAACACTGTACAGTGTACACTGTACACTGTACAGTTTAATGTAAGTTCCGAATGCACGGGACGGCGAGGGTTTAAAGGGTACCATTGTGAATATGATTTGCCACTTTATAAATGAAAAGTCTACAGTATGCCTGCAATGAATGGAATAAATAAATAATTACGCACATAATATTTATTAGTATCAGTTAAATCGTATAATATTATTAGTATATAGTTCAGGTTTGTGCAGTTAAATCTGTTAAGAATATCAAGCAGTGTGCAACATCAATTCTTTTCACTTTTCTTTTGTTTACATTGTTTACATGTGCATGTATATTGTATACCTATGACGTAGTGCACTGCTGCTGAATGTACAATGTACATAAATTTAGAGCATTTAAATAGATTAATAATTGTATTTATATATATATATATATAAATTATTTACGGGAATAGAAGGACTGTTTCTTGAAAGCCATTGTTTCCCTTCGATAGAAAACATAAACATATATTTTAAAGGAAGCTGATACCGGCTAAGTAGCGTAGAATAAATTATAAGGATTCATTTCAGATCAAAAAGACGGCTTAACGATGTTAATTAACGCACCTTGTTCAACCCACAAGGCAGAATAATACTGAATAGCACCCAGACGAAAAACGTAACAAAAATTCTACTATAAATTAAATTTCAAGTTTAGGTACAGGTTGTAAAGGAAAAGAGAAACAGCACTGGATTATATATGTTTTCTTTTCTCTAATCTAATCTAATCTAATCTAATAATTTATTTTTCCGTTGAAAATAAGGCAGATTGAGCATCTATGTGAATTCTATTAATTCTCAACGCGGGGCTCCATCATCCCAAGAAAGCTTCAGCGAACAGATCTTGCATTAAATTTTTAAACATTTTTAAATGAATTTAATTACTTATTGTCAATACTCACGGTTAATTTTTCTCTCATTTCTTCCCTTAACAGTAGAATTGTTAAAAATCGTTTGTTGTAAGGGACCCATCAAAATTATTCTGCATTATGAGATTGAAGAACAAGTTGGCTGTCCTACAACAATTGTATTTTGTAAAACATCTAATATTTGTATTAAATCTTGTATTCTATTATGATGCGCTCTCACAGTTCAATTCTCTACATAGCCGACCACTCCCTCTAGATATTCATTATTCATAGAAATTATCAATTTGTTTAAATTCAATTTATAAATATGCATTATGTAATAATGCCAAACATTTGTTTATCACTGAAAACACATTTACATCAATAATTGTGTCTACATGAATACTCAATTAATCAAAACCGAGATCACAAAACAACAAGTTTTACATACATATAATTACCACTTTATATTCCTTCGCCATCCCTATAAATACCACTTTATATCCCTTCTCCATCCCTACCTAGGTAATAATTACCAAGGTTCATATAATTGCTTGGCTAGTCTGAGACAACAAGCGTGAGAAATTTAAAGTTATATTTTTAACCCCCGCCCCCCATATATAAGATATTTTGGATTTCTCCGAATAAATTTATACGAAAAATTTCCCTTTCAAATTAAAACACAGACAGGTCAAGAAATTATTTGAATTCCCTCCACCTGCGTAAAAATAATCTGAATAGAGAACTTTGCCTTTTAAACTTTTTATTTAATTTCCAACATAGCAGAGGTTTTAATAGCAGAAGTGATGCTTTTTTCAGGATATTTAAACGCTAATATGTTCACAACCCGTTCAAAAAGACAATTTTTATAATTTGTCATTAATATTTTCTGATAATTATCAGGCATTGTCTTGATTTTTTTTTAATCAAATGGTTGCTAAATAAAAAAATCAAACTTATGTCAAACAAAAACTTTCTGTAATGGGGGACTACAAATTCTGTGAAATAAAATAATAATCTTTATTGAAAAATTCTTGTTCGAGAGTATTTATTTTAGGGTCAATTAATTAATTCTTAAAGATAACGAACAAGAAATAAGGAGACAAAAATTTCTAATTGAGACAAAAAAATTTCATTAAACCTGTATTGAATTCCTAAAACACATTATTTTGTGATGCTTGACTCCAAACCTTAATATTTCGTAAAATATCTGACGTCAACTTTCAGAAAAAGTGGGGATTGCGTATGAAAAGAAAAAATTATGTATATTCAGCGATGTAAAATTCGAATTCCATAAATCAAGTATTTAAATCCAGCTTTTTTATATACTTTTGAATGAAATGGAAACAATATCCCTGTAAATTGTACAGTGAGACCCATGAAAATGTGGAATAGAGAGACGACTTTTAAACTCAAGTTATGATTTCAAAGTCCAGTAAACGTGAAACACAGCAATTGTGCAATGTACGCAAATCTGTTTACTTTATACAACAGATAAACATTGGATAGGTTTAATGTCGTCTTCCTATTTCACAGTTTTATAAGTCCTACTGCACATGTAAATTATTTATATCATCATGGTTTTTCTTTTCTTCCTTGTTTC